ATAGGTGACCACAAAAAGCATCCTTATGTGTTCTTTGGTGTCTTTCATGAAGCAGATGTCTTTGCTAAAGCAGCTTTAATAAGTTAATGCATTTTTTTCAATTTGGAAGAAATGTTGGATGAGTCCAGAGGGACCCTTTGCAGACTGACATGGCTGAAGGCTAGCAGGTTTCTATAATTGAACAATTTCTGCAACAATTGCTATCATGTCTGTAGGAAAAGGCCACTTAAAAATAGAGCATGCTGTGCAGTGACTTTAAAGCATTTAAGTGACATGAGACTAGACCACTGCGTGTGTGGTGTGACAAGTGTGGCAGGCTTGGTGGCCTCAGAGAAAATCCTCAAGAATCCCCATTTATTTTCTCCAAGTGGGTACCTGGTAAAGGGGGAGAGAGTTGGAGCAGTGTGGTGCTCGGGAGAGGAGGTATTCCACTTGATAAATACAATGGCTTTTCAGTAAAGGTGTGTGCGTCTTTCCGTGAGCCAGAGGGACAGCCTGGGTGTGAAGGAGTGGGGTCTGCAATAGACTTTCAATATCTTCCTGTTGAAGAAGTCTGTGAGTACCAACTATATCTTAAGCAAAGCCAACATAATTACATAGTGATGTAACACTCTCGCGTTTGCTGAAAGCACAGTGACAGGTGACTATATTATTTAAGCATAACAAGACAGGGGCTTTGTAAGTCTCTTATTAAAATGTGTAATTAACTAATTAGTGTAACATTAGTAACTTTTCCAGTTTGGTGCCAGTACCATGCATTTTTGTCTCACAGATTTGATCTTTTTCCCAAACTGATATTCATCTGTCATTGTGCATAGGGATAAAAGTAACTTGGACATTTTCCATCAAACTCCACGTGAATTCCCACAAAGGGCTGGTGGTATTCTCAGCCTCTTTGACATCTAAGACCTTTACTGGGTCCAGTACAGGGCAGACTCTTATTTTGCTGTTGTGTAAGACAAGTGTCTGTTGATCAAAGACTAAAAATCACCATGACCTTGAAATGTGGCCTTGTATGTGTTCCAGTTTCTCATGAAAATTTACGGGTCATGGTCACAGGGGAAAATTATAGGCTATGAGCAAATTTTGAGTCTTCCCTTAGGTTTTGTGATCTATTAAAGTCACAGTAACCTTACCCAGTGTCTTGGAAAGGCAACAGGGAGCCACAATTAATCTGTTGGGACTGGAGGCACATGGCTGTGTCACACTGTGCTTAGGCGTCTCATCTACTGTGCCTGAAATGCTGGTTCTGTTATATTATTGATTTAAAGAATTAGAACTCATCTTGTAATTAGAACTAGATTAAGTACAGCAAATATCTAACTACCGATAACTGCTACTAGATTAAAATTTTCCTACGAGTTCGATTAAGGACAGATAACTATGGAGTATGATGCCTCTAGTGTTTAATATTTTTTTAAGGTTCAGTTTATTTTTAATTATGTGTATGTTTGTGTGTGCTCACATGAATGCAATTGCCCAAGCAGACAAGGAGGGGGCGCTTTGGATCTCCTAGAGCTGGAGGTGTATGTAGTTTTGAGCCACTAGGGTAATAGGAACCAAAGTCAGATCCTCTGGAAGAACACTGCACACTCTTAACTGCTGTGCCATCCCTCCAGCTCCAAGTGCTTAGCATTTGAAGGAGCTGACAATTTACTGTGTGCTTAGCTTCATCACTAAACTTTGATTTCCACGTGCGTAAAAGGGGACTAGAAAGACTGCCACTCATGAGATGAATGTGAAGATTCAATGATGCTGTTCAAGTGTTCAGACTCTTCCCTGACACAAGCTTGAGGCCAACCAAACATGATGTCCCTCACTGCTGTTATTAAGGCTGCTGTGGTAATAGGGAGCTCTCTGCATGTTACAATCCCCAGAAGGAGATATGTGTACATGCATACACAAATGTACATGTGGAGATGTGCATGTTTGCATGTGAAAACATGGAATGTCAAGACTAAGACTCCATCTTGCTGACTAGTTTAACTGCCTACGTACCATGCTTGGCAGCCTCGGATCATCTCAGCCACAGAAAGAACCTGACTTCCCTAGAACATCTGGGCACTCACACAGTCCAGATATATTGGTGATTATTTCCTCACAGACCTGTTTTGAAGTAAAGTGAGCATGTCATTACCACTGTTAATATAATCTCTGTTATCCATCAGTGGTCACAGAACCTAAACATGTCTTAGAGCCAGTGCAGCTTGAGGGGAAAAAACCACCATGAAGAACTGTGTTGTGTTAACTTTTTCATAAGAAAGACCAGAACCAAAATAGACATTAAGATACTACGAATGTTGAGGCAAAGTGTCAGCACATGCTAAGCTGCCCTGGATTCTCTTCCATCCTAAGTAGTCACTGTACTCACCTGAGAAGTTGATCAAAGATCGTTTCTCTGTTTAAAATAGAGAAGCCAGAACTCCTTTACACTGCTGAGAATATTTCCTCAACTGCAGGGTTTTCTTCCGAAGCGTGAGAGGAAGGATGAGGGTGGAGGCCAGCAGAAAGATGCAGGCTAATTTATGCCTCCTTCTGGTGATGGTAGGAATGGGAGGGCTGATGGTCATTTCTCAGGGTTGGAATCTCGACAAGCATCATATCTTATCATCCTCTGCGCATCTGCAATACTTACCACCACCCTGGGATTTGGACAACTGCCTTGGAGGTATGAGTACTACTCCCCCAAGGGATGCTGGTGTCTTGGAGATAGCAATGTCAAGTCAAAAGTTCCCCCTCCATAATAGTCATCAACATGAAGTCTGTAGTCAGTCATGCTCTGCCTCTTCCCTGCAGCCCTCCTGAGTGGACATGAACCAGCTTCTCAAGGTCAAATTGAACTATGGAACCACTGAGACCTATCTGCTATCCTGGGGTGGCCTGTTTGCACATCCTCCTTGTGTGCTACGGTGCTCATTTTCACAAATCTTTCTCTTTTACTCTTTAAAAAAAATTGTGTGCGTGAGCATTTTGCCTGGATGTATGCTCATGTACCATGAACACACATTTTCTGTGGAGGCCAAAAGAGAGCACTGGATCTCATAGAGCTGGAGACTTTTGTGAGCTGTGTTGAGGGTGCTAGCAATCTGATCCAGGTTCTCTGGAAGAGCAGCCAGTGCTCCTAACTACCAAGCATGTCTCTTATAACTGTCTTCTGCTTTCTTACTGTGGGTAATTGGGGAGGAAACGCTGTGTTTTGAGTCTGTTGTATTCTCCATCAGAAGCTTTGGAGAATTCTGTGAGCAGGCATGCTTTCCTTCGCTTACTGGCCATTTAGAAGATCTGAGATAGATTGGCCAATGGTGACAGTAAAGAGTTCATGGATAGGGCATTGGTGGCACACACCTTTAATCCCAGCACTTGGGAGGCAGAAACAGGTAATTCTGTGAGTTTGAGACCAGCCTGGTCTACAGAGCTAGTTCTAGGACAGCCTCCAAAACAATACAGAGAAACCCTATCTCGAAAAAAAAAAAAGAGTTCATGGATAGATTTCAGTACATTTCCATTCTTAGTTATATTCCTCTTAATTTGTCTTTCATTTCTCTTTTGAATTATCCGTGTTTTACTGTAAAGTGATTGCATTTTTTATGAAAAAAGATTATAAAATATGCATTAAGGAAAGAAAGCAATTGGGTCCGTGATTGTACTTTGTTAATTTTATTCATAGCCAAATGGCATGTAATTGTTTTATAACTGTTGAAATTAATAAAGTGATCAAGTCTATTATTCCAAAATCTATTATAGTGGGTCACTTGCATTATGTATTACTTTTCTTTTCCTGAGAAATCCTCTATAAATACCCTTCATTTTGCCTGTGGCTCTTAATTACCATGCATTTTTGATATTTCCTCTTTTAAGAAAAAATGGAATTCCAGCCAGACTCAAAACACAACACTGTATACTTTTTAATGCAACTTCCATGCTTTGAATTGATATTTAAGAGAGTCTTATCTTCTACTGTGGTCTCCTGGATCAAACAGCTATGTCTGTAGTTTGGAACCCTTGGTATTCATGCTTATTATGGTTTTTATGAGAGCCATTCTTAGGTTAGGAGCAAAAAGATGATTTGCAAATGTCAATCTGATGTGCTCCACCCACTTTGACCAGGACTCTCCAGGGCCTTACAATTTCAAGTCGAACCCCATAAGTGCCTCTTCCTGGTCAACAAAATTCTAACCTATTCTATCCTACCTCCTTGGTCAACTCTGCTCCCTGGTTCCTGTTCTCTAGCCTTAGTGGTCCCAGGAGGCCTTGTGTTCTCCACATACTCCTTCCATTAGTTAGGGCTTTCTCCCCAGCACTATTGTGTTGGCCTGGAATTTTCTCTGCCCAGTCCTTTCTTGTCTGTAGCTAATGAGGGCATCCAACATCATTCTCCCTTTCAATCTTAATGACTAGTTATTATCTAAGTCATTCCTGGTCTGTTTTGTTTGCAGTATCATGGTTTCCCCACCCCTGGTAAACTCTAAACTTTATAAAATATAAGTCCTTGTATATCGGTGTGCACCAAACAAAGATCATTTATTAGCATGTGCTAATTTAAAAAAATAGTATGAAAGAGTAAATGACCTCATATTTTCCTGGTCATGTTTAGAAGGGAGTTCTTCCCATCTATCATGAGAAGCAAACTGTGGCTTGAGATAAACATAAGTGCCTGCTGGCATTGTTTTCTTCCTACACACTCTCTATTTTTCTAGATTTGGCTTTCCTCATTGCAAAACAGTCATAATCACAAAATTATCATTAACTGTTTTTCTCTATTTTCAAGGCTTTCTGTGCTAAGTCTGTCCAGACTCCTTTTTTTCCTTGGTCATAGCCAGCCATGCCTTTTGAAATCAATGTCTGAAGCTGACTGCATCAATTCTCCAGAAGTGAACTTCAGTCCAGAAAGAAATGAGCAATTGTTTCTTTAGCCCTAGTAAGAGGAGTGATGCTTACGACCTCCAAGCATGTGAATTGCACTCTTGGGGTATCTGTTAATTAAAATAAATTAAAGAAAATGATCAAGAGCTTCGCTTTATTGAGTTTTGAAGAGTCACAGTTAACAGTGTAAAGTGACAACTCCCGATTGTTTTATTACCGAGGGCTGGAGATTATATACATAACTGGTGAACACACTCTGAGATCACCCCACTCTTCTCCATATGCAGATGAGAAAATGATGCTGACAAATGCATGCCCCACTTGGCCTCAGGAGTGATCGAACTGCTATTTCACAGAAATAGAGTGGATGCTAATGCTCAGGGTGTTGGTGTTCCTAAAAGGATGAAGATTTATTTTAAAAAAACATAAGCTTTAAGTGTTTCCATTAAACATATCTACATGCACACACACATGTGTATGTATAGCATCATGGAGACGACATGGTGAATTGTGGTACCCTTTAAAATGCAAAAGTATAGCAGGTCCACACACACCCTCTCCATAGTAGTAACATTTAAGGGTTTAGGAGGTGCTGCCAGCCTCTGATACTAACCTTACTCCTGGCTGTGGCAGCATCCCAAGATTCTTCACATTACATCTTAAATAGATGTATTTTATGACTCCTAAAGCTGACCCACTTAAAACATACAAATCACTCCATCCTTGTACTTATGTCATGATGCAACTGCACCATCATGGAAAGGAGGCAGGACCTACCCAAGTAACTGCCTCTTCTCTCATCCTTGTTCCCCAGGGACTGCAAATCTATAGGATTCTAAGATTCTACACTGTGATTCTCATTCACTCAGTATACTGTTACTTTCTTATTTTGCTAAAAAGTGAGAGCACGCGCGCGCGCGCGCGCGCGTGCGTGTGTGTGTGTGTGTGTGTGAGAGAGAGAGACAGACAGACAGAGAGACAGAGAGACAGAGAGACAGAGAGACAGAGAGACAGAGAGAGAGAGAGAGAGAGAGAGAAGGTGGACTGTGAAGGCTCGAAGAGGGCATTTGCTCTACAGGAGCTAGAATTATAGGTGTGTTGTAAGCTGCCTTGTGAGTGCTGGGATTCCTATTCTGGGTCCTTTTCCAGAGCAGTTAGTGCACTTAACTCCTGAGTTGTCTTAGACAGGTTCATAGGATGCTTCTGAGAGAATGTTCTGAGACTATATCCTGCCTCTGTATGTTTTTATTTGCTGTTACCAACAACACCTCATTCTTTATGCATATTACACCCAATCCCCACTCTATTCCCCAGGGAGGGTAAGGCCTCCATGGGTGATCTCTAGAGTCTATCTTTTCGTTCTGGGGAGGGCCAGATTGAGAGAGCATCCCTCATTATGGGATAGGCACCCAAAGTCCATTTGTATGCCAGGGATATATACTGATCTACTACCTAAATCCCCATGGATTGCCTAGGTCACCTCACTGATACCCACATTCAGGGGGTCTGGATCAGTCCCATGCTGGCCTCCTGGCCATCAGGCTGGGGCCCAAGATCTCCCCCTTGTTCAGGTCAGCTGTTTCTCTGGTTTTCACCAGCCCAGTCTTGACCCCTTTGCTCATCACTCCTCCCTCTCTGTCACTGGGTTCTAGGAGTTCAGTTCAGTGTTTAGCTGTGGGTGTCTGCTTCTGCTTCTGTCTGTCACTGGATGGAGTTTCTAGGATGGTATGTAAGATAGTCATCAAAATCATTATCAGGAAGGGGCATTTAAGGTAGTCTCTCCACTATTGCTTAGTTTGCCAGTTGATGTCAACATCTTTCTGACAGGGAAAGACACTCAGATTTTATTGTTTACTCTGGCAGAGAGGGACCTACAGAATTCCGTCACTTCCAGGGACTCTCTGAAGCTAGTTTCAGTTATTCACCTTCCCATTTGAAGAGCTCCCCTGCAGGATGGAATGTTCCAATCTCAGAGGAAGGTAGCTAGACAACAGCATCAATGTGATGCAAACGCCATGTAAATTGCTGTTGTAGTCATTGTCGGGAATCTGGATAAAAAGACAAAGAATCTATACATTTAGTACATTTAGTATTGGCTCAATACTTATATTTGAAACAATCTTTCTTTGTAGCCCAGGCTGGAATTGATCCCAGCATCCTCCTGCCTCAGCATGCCAAGGGCTGAGATTATAAGCATAAACCACCGTGCCTGGCTCTAAAAGCAGTTTTTAAAAAGATATTTTTATCTCATGGTTGGTTGACTACATTGACACAGAAGCAGTTGATGCAAAACTCATCTCTCACTTGGGAGTGTGTGGGCTGTCAGATAAGGCATCAACTCCAGTGTTCAGTACCTCATTTGCTTGTCCAAACAGTTTTAGAACAATGATGTTTTGTTGTTACGAGATCTAGGCTGCACAATATGTCCACTGTCACTTCTGATGACTTTAAAGCTACTGGTTTTCTAATAAGCAGCATTATTCCAACCAAGCCCCATGGCCCTGACATTATTATGGTCTCTCCAGCTTGTGCTACATGACAGTATTCAACATGTGGCCTTTTAGCATGAACACCTCAAAATCTGTGGTTTCACAGATCTTGGACCCTGAGCCAGATCCTGCAATTTTACTTGCAAATATGTCTGCCCACATTTCAAGAAGACAATGGAAGCTCAAGACGAGAGATTTTCTGAGAATCTCAAAGCTTGTAAATTTCATCCACTAGGGCATATATTCTTCTGTTTATCATCAATGATGAGGTATCACAGGACACAGGAAGTTACAGGCGTGTTTGTTGTTTATTTGGCAAATCAGTGTCTTGGCTCAGGTGCAGCCTGAGGCTTTTCCCTATCTACAGAGAACCACCCTGTTCTCTATGGGATTGCCTGGGTGTGGCCATTTGATTAAGCAAAGAATGGGGCTTTGTGTAGATTTTTGCAATAGGAGGCAGAGTTCCCCACCTCTAGAAGCCAAGACAACATTCATATCCATCTAAGGAAGCAAAGTTTCACCCAAACACAGTTTGAGAAGTAAAATTCCATCTGGATCATTTCTTCCACTGTTTAATTAGTTTTGTTGTACCCAAATTCTGAACCCCCAAATCACCAAGAGGCCCATTTCAAGAGGCCCATTTCGATGCAAAAGTAAAGAGTCATTTATTGTAGTTGTTTAATGACCTAAACCCATTAGCTAGGGCCCTTCATCCCTCTACCATGGCTGGTGACTGGAGAAAGACCCCAAGAACCCCCAAAGCAGAGATCTTAAAGGTCAGTGTAAGGGGAGTGTCTAGGGTTATGAAACAGTCTCAGGACTGGTGCACTTCCAGGTTTGGGTGACCCTCCCTGTGTTGATTGGTCAACTGGTTGTTATGGCCCATAGGCCCTCCCAGGGGAGTTGCTATGTTCTGCATGTCACTGTGTGCTCCTGTCCGTAAAGCACACCCAGATCCATAAAACACAGCCCCACCAGCTAACTTCTGATTGGTTCCTTGTCATGAGGAGGGCATCTGACCTCCTAGTGACCAGGACAGGAGCAACAAGGTCATGCAAGCACATGTTAGCCTGTCATGGCTGCTAAAATGGGGGACTGGTCACTACAGTGTATAAAGACAGAATTTCTCAGTTATGTGATCTGAAGCTGAGTATCACAATATAGTATGTGCATACTTTATTTCCTCAAGTGTTGAAACTGTCAAAGAGTTTTGATAGGTTACTTTGGAATCATCATTCCAAGCATTTTTATAGTTTGCAGGTGAACAGGTTGGAAATAATGTTGCTAAAGTTTTGAACACAGTTATTAAAGTGCATATAAATTAAGGATAATAGAGATGGTGTTTGCGGGTTTCTGTGTCCTAACTTTTTAGCCACACGACACATAGGTTTAAACTTCTTTTCAGAGATTATCTAAAAAGAGGAATTTTATATTTGTATGACTTATTAGTCACATTTATACACAGAGAAAGTAAATCAACTGGTGATATATATGAGACTGTGTATGTGTGTACGTATAACACATACACACATGTACGTACACATATATAGTAGCATGTTTAGCCTGGCTCTTTCATTATTTTATTCACACATTAAGTAGATCATGTATGAAAGAGTTAAGAAAGTAGGGAACAGTAGGCACTTTGTTCAGTACCTAGGTATGATAAAAACAGCTCTCAGCTCTCCGAAATGTGTCACAGAAAATATTTGCAATTATTCACACAGTCCCCAAACTGAAATGCTCTGGATACTCATTGTTGGGGAATACATACACACAAGACAGTCCAGATGCAGACTGGATTTATGACCCAATAATACAAAGAACACGGTGCTGAGATGGGGGTTCACATGAATGCATGTTGGAAGAACTGCATTGCAGAAGCTAGTCAGAGACAGTCTTGTGTAATGGGTGCTTGTGCTCTATGAGGGTAAAGACTATATGTAGTTAGTGTTTGGTAAGACAGCTCATAGTGACTAGGCTTGGAGAGAGGGGCAAGGAGCTGAAAGTCAGGGACCAAGTGGTCCATCTGTGGCACTAAACACACTCTATACTTGACTCTGATCTGTGTCATTCACTGCAGTTGTTAGGCTAACCATCATCAGAGAATGCAATTAGGAAGTGTGCTACAAAGCAAGTTTTTCCTGTGTTTTGAAAACAAATCTTCAGTGGCCACTTACACTTTGACAATAGAGAGAATTCATATCCCTGGGCATTCCAGTTTGAATTGACTTTGGAATTAACTATAACATTTGACTGAATATTATTTTTCCCCTCATTATTGACTCTAAACTTGTCTTGAATTTTCCACGATGAAAGTAGTAGAGACCTTGCCAATGAGATACACATTGCATCCTTACTAAGTTTAAATTTATCTCAAGCATTTGTAAAGCCTGTCACAATGAATCCCATGGTAACCTGAGCAACCTTTCTAACAATAATCAGTTAATTAACTACAACTCCTCTCCTTCCCATATTAGTGAAGTAACTTCCTCACCCCTGCTTAGCAAAATCCAACTCTGGTTATTGTGTTGAACCCTGAGGACTTGCTGCTTAGGAGTTCATAAGCCATGGGAGGTTGGGAACTTCCACAGGTATGGTCTTCTCGGTTTAATTGATGACAGGAAAACAAAATGAAGGGTGTATTGAGGCTATAATGACTGGGAGGGCTCAGAGAGGTGCAGCTGTCTGTGACACAGGCTCATACCACAGAAGGATGAGGAGATGAAAGTGGAGGAAACTGGTGGGATGGGCAAGATGTGGGATTAATGAGCCCCAGGATACCCACGATGAGATGCTGAGAAACAGAAGAACATCCTTGCTTGTTCTTAATTCAGAACAGGACCAGAGAGATGGCTCAGCCACTACAAACCCTTACTGCTCATTTACAGGATACAGGTTTGCTCCCCCAGAAAACACACCTGGGACCTTACAACCACCTGTAACTCCAGTTCTTAGGGATATGACACCATCTCGATACTGTGAGCTCATGAACACATGTTCTATATATCGACTCACACAAGTACACACATAGATATTTAAAATTAATAAGTCTTTCACTGCAGAATGAAATTCACTGGAGTTTGAGACCAATCACGTATTTAGAGGTGATGCTTCCCATCTGGACGGTACACTCACAGAACTGAAAGTCTTTGGCAGACATGGTGATGAACAGAGGAATCTTCCCTACAGGGCGACTATTGGGAACCATCATAGAATTTCTATCCACCCATTTTTCCAAATGAAAAGTAGTAATATTTATTTGCTAACGTAAAATAAATAAGATACACAGCAGTGGTATGCAACCACTTCTATGCCATGTAATTATGCCTTACATGAATGAGATAGTCTGCAACATAATGCCATGCTCTACAGCAGCTGATGAAATTAGTGGCTGGTTCCACAGGTTTACAAGTGCTTATTCGAGGTTCACTGTGGGAACACAAGTGGAGCTCATCGGGCTGCAGAGAATGCCAAGGGTGGATTCCTATGACCCAGCAGAATTTTATTTAAAAATTTACATTTCTTCAGCTTTGGGATTAAGTGACCACTTGCTACTTCTAGAGTTTAAGGACAGTCATAGCTGGCCAGGCAGCTGCATACAACACAGATTGTGGGGAGAAGGCAGGCTGGTTAGTATTGTCAGTACTTTGACAAGTCTACAATAATCACCAAGAGGGAAGCCTCTGGGCATATCTGTGGGAGATTACCTAGAGTAGGTTTGTCACTGGGCAAGCCTGTGAGAAAATGATCATGGTTAGGCTAATTGAGTGGGGATATCGACCTTAGCTGTTGGTGGAACCATCCTAGGTGCTGACCTCTCAGACTGAATATTAAAAGGCAAGCTGAGCAACTGCAATCATTTCTCTTTGTTTTCTGACTGCAAAAGCAATGTGACCAGCCACCTCAAGTCCCAGTCACCATATCCTCCCATCCTTAATTTCTACACCCTCAAGTGACAGGAAAAGCCCCTGTTACCTTCCTGTAGGCAGGTATTCTCCAAGATGCACCAACTAAAGTCACCTGCCCAGTGTGAAGTCACAATGCCAGTCCCCTTAGGTAGACACAGGCAGGGTTACTCTCTTTGTTCCCAAGCCCCCAGGCAGGCTGTTGTTGCATCCTCATGATTCAACACTTAGAATGAGAAGGACTTTGTCACTACAGGCTCTGGGTGAGCAGGGCACAGAGTCCGGCAGAGGAGCCATTGGTAATGTCAGATTTCCAAGGGGCACTCTGCGGTTTGAAAAGTGGCCCATCACAGGTTGTGGGTCAATACTTATTGAGTGACTCATTTATGGAGATTCTGACATTCAGTGTCCTGGGGAATAAGAAAGATGAGATAAAACTAGATCTCTGTTCCCAAGCTAGCTGCATTTCTAAAGAGAAAAATCTGTTGAAAAAAATATAAATATATTTAAATTGGGAAGATCTCTCTCTAACAGGGAGCATACCAGCTCATTCTACATGTGTGTCATAAGTTGTTCATGAAGTTGAGACATATTAAGCAGTGATGTTGAGGGATGAGGATGCTAGGGAAGTGGTCCATAGAGATATCTATGCAATCATGGAAGGGAACAAGAGAACTCATAAAGTGGAGTTTCTTTGAGGTTGTAGGGGTTGTCTTTGGCTAACACTTACAGAGAGAGCATCAAGGAGGATGTACTTAGAAAAGTTAGCAGAGTGATGAGCAAACTTCTTCAGAGGAGAGAAATGGATTTGTTTGGAAGAAGAAAAAAGAAAAAGAAAATGACATGATTTCTGATGAAAATCCAGCCGAGGAATAGGTGGGAACAAAAGCCCAAAAATACGGAGGGTGCTTCTGTGGGGGCAAGACTCAGGCCCTCACCTAGACCTGGAACTGATTCTGACCACATGCTAGTGCACAATGTCTCTCAGCAGGAGGCTCCTGTCTCTATCATGGTGACACTGCTGGACTTCAGGGGATCTCAAGGGTCTCTTCCCTTCTTCCCCATGCTGCCTTCACCCTCGACACTCTGGCCTTGTATCTTAAGGACATGCCCTTACTAGCTGTGACATTGTAGGGACAGACAGAGCCATCTGTTTGGCATGTGTTTCTCGTTGTGAGCAAGTTTCCTGATTAAGTAACCACAGGGGGATTTGAAGACTGAGGAAGTGGATAGCATCATCGCACTGATGACAGTGGAGGTATAGACTGAGACACTGACCTCTGCCAGTGCTCATGGAGATGATAGACCACATCTCCTGGGAAGACATATCCAAATAGGAACTCAGAAAGCTCTAGGCTAGACCCTGAGGGTTGCCCAGGCTCAAACATGTTTAAAAGATTAGAAGTCAATTCAAAGATTCCGAATCAGAGAAGGGCTGATCTGAAAGATGATAAAATATGAAGGAATTTGAATTGTTTAAAAACTGATAATTTCTTAGCGATGTAATGACTCTTTAATTTTTTTTTAGTTAAAAGTATTTTCTTTAGAGCACCACTGAATTAAGATGCTATGGGAAGTACAAGAGAAATTTTGAAATATCACTTTATTGGGAGCTTTAAAGATGGTGTGTGTGTGTGTGTGTAGATATAGATAGAACATATATAGAGATAAATAGATATATAAATGTGTGTGTGTGAGGGTATATGTTTGATCCCTAAGCAACTTTACCTGACTTGAATAGAAGCACATAATTTCACTATTAGTTAAGCTGCTTGTAGATACTATTGTCTGAGATGTTTGACCTGTGATATCATCTGGAAAGGCTTTAGTTTCAAGTACGATCTAATTCTCCCAATTGTTAATTGTTTACAAGCATATAGTCACTACAGGCTTAACATTTCAAAGTCACAATGTTGGACTCTTACCTGACTGTATGCAATAATTATTCTCCAAAAATAACATCAATTTAAACCAAACTCAATTGACTAGTCCTCATATTTATTGACCCTTTGTATTTAATAGTCAGGCACCATGATGTGTGTTTGATCTATCAGCAAAACCAGTGACTTCATGCTTGGATGTTTGTCTCTGTTCTGTCCAACTTGTCCTTGCATTAATCAGCAGTGTCACTCACATCTCTGAACATTTGGAAGCTGGGGCCACTGGCTACAAGTCACTCCTCCCCTTCATCTGCTCTCATCTGGTTTTAGTTAAATGGGTGTGAGCTTCCCCCTAAGAAGGTACTTTGTAGGTAACCTCCATTCACAAGGTGCAAGAGTGTTCTGATCTGGATATGGGTTTGTGTCAAGACAAATAGGATGAGATAATTTAGTTTATGATCTAACTTGACACTAGTTGGCTGTCTAGTACATTCAGTATACAATGCTAGAACTTCAGCGTTAAGTGGGTGATTATATGGCTGTTAACCATGATCACTTTAACACAAAAGAAAACACTGAATGGACAAGACCACACATGCCTTACTAGGCACCCTTGCACTGTAATCCACACTGAGTCTTCCTTAGAGGCTGGTAAAAATTACTCAGCCTGTATAGCTATGTGAACTTTATTTAGCAAGTGGTAAGAATGTGTTTCTAATAGAAAGCAATAGAGTTCTTGCATAAAATATGAATGGCAGTATTTAATTCCTACTTAAACTTTATTCCTTTTTAAAAAACAGGTACACATATACAAGACTGAGTTGTGTTACTGACTCCCGCTTATTTGATTGACAGTCTCAATGATGTACAAATCCCCAGGCAACTCAAAGACACAATTCTGGACATGGGAATTCTAAGTTCAAGGCATTTTTAATGTTTCACAAAGACCCCAAGTGGGGATGATAACTACTGTCTTCATGCTGTGGGTCCCATAGCAACAGTACCAAGGCCTCCCTCTGGGGTACAAAATAAAGAAACCGTATCATGTTCCAATGGCCCCAGCATCTAACATCATCCTTTTTAAATCAAGCTCTCAGCTTGTGTGTTTGGAGAGAGACAGGGATATTGTGACCTTAACATTACCCCACAATAGGAGAACACAATAAGGAAAAAGCTCAGATCTTAGATCAACTTCAAGGAGAGGGCGAATCATCCTTAAAATCCCACCGGGGCCCTTGAGGGCAAGTGACCATCAGAAATGAGATGGAGAACACAGCTTATGTCTAGTTCTTTGTCTCTGAGTTCTCTTGGCAGCTGCCTCCATTGCTACTCAGTTCCTCTGAGTGGGAGTGGAGTCAGGAGTGGTCCTGGGCTCAACCTTACAGAAGCAGCTACGCTCCACACATCTCAGGATGCTTTCTTTGATGTCCCACCTACTTGAGCCGATTGTTCTCACTTAAGAAATGGGAGTCCTGTTCAAATGCTGGATGTCTTCCATTAGTTAAATACTTAAATGTGCTCTCTGTCCCTAGCCTTTGGCTGTCACAGCATGGGTCCCTCTTCTTAGCAATGTGTCCATAGCCAGTTCTCAGCATATTTTGAACAATTAGGAATAGAGATCTAGAAGAGCCAAAAAATCTTCCCAGTGTTCCTGATGTGCAGCTATCTGGCAGTTTTAAGCAAGTGCCATTCTGTTCTTTCTGTGATGGCTTTTAGTTTTCCCTTAGGCAGTCTGTTTTCTTTCTAGTTATAGTCTAGATGCCTTGTTAGCTGAAAACTACAGTAATGTGTACCTGATACCACACTACTAGAAACAGGCTGCTGTATTTTTACTTGGAATAAAAATAATTATACAGGTTTAATTGTTGTAATAACTACATGTTTAATTAATATACCTGGAAATATGTACTTTCCTGTATTCATGTTGGTGTTCCTTAATTGCCATTAAGCCTCTCTGATAAGCTGACATTCTGCTTGATTAATCACTATTTTGTTTTTTCACGGGAGCACTTGTAAATCATTTAGAAAAACAAATAATTAAAATTCATGGATTGCCCACAAAATGTAAGAACCCAGTTGTCTACCTAATTGATTTTGAAAGTAAAATAACATACAGCATCATGGGGCTGTTTCCTGCAGATTTGAGATTCAAATGTCTCTAAGCCTTGTTCATTTTCTAAACTCTAGTGTAGTTCATTTTACAATCTTCAAGCCTTTTGTGATCTTCTTTCTCATTCTCCTCAAAATAGAAATGCTACATTCCCTTCCTTCCTCCTTCCCTCTCCCTTGTTCTGTTTCTCTCTCTTCCCCTCCCTCTCTCCCTCCCTCCCCCTTTTCTTCCAGGATTTGGTAGCCATCTAACTAGATGTTGAGAATTTAATCTAAGTACCTGTTTGTGAGCAGGTTTTAATATTTATAGTATGAATGGAGAGAAATGAACTCAGAAAACATAGCAGTTAGCAGAAGGTGTTTAATGCATGATTGTGAATTGCAGCTTTGTTGGAACCCCGTGTTTCATGTCCTTCTAATGTGGATTCTGTGGGGGCAAAGACTAGGTTTCCCCAACACCTACATGCTGAAATTCTAACCCCGATTTTGATAAGTTGGGCACTTGGGGTGATTAAATCCTGAGTGTAAGGTGTCATGATGGGAGTTACTGTCTATTAGAAGAGGCACCAGTGAGCTTGCTTTCCTTCCCCTGTTTTCCTGGGAAGGTGGACAAGGTCCACATGTGAAGCAAGAAGAATATTGGCTTAAAACACACATCACTCCTCATTGGTTTGGCTTTCCAGCCTCCAGAAGAGAGCACGAGTCACATCAACCTGGGTGTGGACTAGGGTGGCAATTCATTGGGCAATTGTGTGCTGCTTTCCCTAATGCATCTCTGAACTTTTCTCAGCTGTAAGGAAGGCACTTTAGACATTTGGTATCACCTTTCTGGGTGTGGCAGGATCCTGTAATCTCCCTCCTCCTCCCTCTAGTCTTTAATTTTCTTAAGATTTGTTATTGTTGTTGGGCATGGCAGATGCCTGGCACACCTGTGGAAGTTCAAGGAGCGGGTCTCATCTTTCCATCATGTGGGTTCTTAGTATTGAACTCAGGCCACGAGGCTTGGTGACAAGTGCCCATTCCTGATGAGCCACACTCTGCATCCACTCCTCCCTTGGTTCCGCTGATTTTCTTGGTTATAGCAGAGCTCTCTGTAAGGGTCTGTTTCCCAATGCATTTACTGCTGACCAGAATAAGTGTTCCTTGTCTCCCACCAGATTCTTTTCCATCTTGTCCTCTCATCTCTCCAGATTTCTAGGTCCAC